AACATTTGTGAGGGAAAAAAGGAACATGGACTTACTATTGCTGTAGGTCAGAAGATGTTTCCAAGGGGCTGAAAGAGGGGGCACTCTGCAACAAACCAAACAAAGAAGTCATTGATAGCTCCAAAGGCTTGACTCTCTGGCAGCTGGAAAGGGAGAAGGCGCATTAGTCAGTCAGGCTTGCGAACGTCAAGGGCTCTGAAACTCTTAGGTCCTCAGGACGAAGCCGAGCGTGGAGAAGTAAGCAAGTATTTTGGCCTGCATGCAAGTTAGGGGGGAAAACAAGCGACTGGGAGCGAGGGGTGGGATTAGCAGGGGCTGTGAGGGGCGCCCATTTTGGGAGGGGGCTGTCAGTGCTTCCACCAATCAGCTGCTGTCTCTCACCGAGGCTCTCTTTTGTCTTCTATTGAGTCACTCTCATTACTGGCCGGCCAGACAGGGAGACAATTAACCAGCTGGTGCGGGAAGCAGGCCAAATTACATGGGCAGACACACACACAAATAGATTTACACATATATTAAGAATATCACGAGTGTCGGATCGAACATGCTGTACAAAAATCACAGGGCGATATTAATAGTACATCAAGGAAGTTCACATAACGGGCATCCAGTGCTGGGTAGCAACTGATTACATGTAATCTGATCACGTAATCAGATTCCAAACATTAAGTACTTGTAATTAGATTATATTACATTTTAAAATGCTTATAATCAGATGACAGGTACTTTTTGTATTAAAATATTAAATATTCATATATTATTTGAATATTATTATTTAATATTATTATGTGAGATTTCAGTTTTAAATATTATAATTTAACATCAGTTCTCAGTTCTCTGATGTCGGTTAATGGTCACACTGACATGCAGGTAACCAAATTAAATATTTATATTTTTAGTGTTCAGGTAAGCTAGTATTTATTTTTCTTTGATAAATTCACAAAACCCCTGCAATTACTTTACAAACCCCAGTTCGAAAAACTGTGACATTTAATGCACTTCTCACTGTTGATAATATAAAAAAATTATGTGGTACACCATAATCCTATTCAAATCTATGCGATCAACAAGTTAGGTCAAAAGTAATCTAAAAGTAATTAAAAGTAGTCTGATATTATTAACTAAAATGTGCAATGTAATGGATTACATTACTGACTACAATTTCCATCACGTAATTTGTAATCAGTAACAGACAACAATTTATAAGTAATCTACCGAGCACTGTGTGCGTCAAGCCAATAAGGAGAGTGGCTGTTATTGCTGGGCAGCAACTCCCGACGGCAGATCAGAGAGAGCCATTCGCTGGGACGGCCAGTAGCCCCCCTTGCAATTTGAATGGTTTACAGGTGTCTAATTTTAGGCTACTGTTTCTGTTGCTTTTCCCCAAGTGCACGTCACAGATGGTAAAAATAGCGTGACAGCACACCTCCGAAGAAAAAAGCACATGTGGTGTTTGCAAATACGATTGCACAATCCCAGCCTGCCGCTGTCCCTTCAGAGGCATGCCACATGCGTGCCAGCACCCCACGACCCCCTCTTGTGACCGACAGAAGAAAAGTTCAACTCCTGACCGCAACATGTTCATCCCATTGGTTGCTGGGGTAAAGAGGATCACGAATAACCTTCGCAAATGAATGCAGGCTTTGTGAGAGAATATCACTCTATTTATACAGCGTCATGTTCTAGAAGTTTTGTTTCCTGAGGAACACCCAGTGACATAACAAGCCGCTATTACGTGTGCAAAGCCACCTCCAGTATTTTTGTCCCTTTTTTTTCTTTCTTCCCATTTTTCTTCTCTCAAAAAAAAAGCCGGCACAGCATCCCAAGAGGCTTTCGCACGAGACTTGGCACAGATGCGAAGAATAAGCAAACAGGAAGCATGCATGAAAGCCTTATCTGAAGTGGCACGCATCTTAATCTAAATACTTGTGACAGCCAGTACAATACCTTAGTGTGATGCAGCTGTTGAGATGAGATGATAAGAAAGTGAAATTATGCAATTAAGTATAATATAAACACTGTTACTGGCATTATAAAGTACAGAAAGCCCTGTATACTGTATCTGACAGCACGTTTTTAAAATAGTATGGTATAAAATACCATGTAAACAGACTAAAAAGATGACTCTGTTTATCCTTAACTGTAAGGAGGACTAAAGGAAACAGACTCACGAACAACAACGGCAGTAAAGTCAGAACTGTTATAAGTGAGATTTAGCTGAGTACTTGACATTCTTGACATGACCCACGGAGACGGTGGGTGAAAGTGACGTGCACAGTATGTCACTGAGGATATGGTTTCAAAGCCTTACGTTATTTGAAATGCCAACCCGAAATAGCATTTCTCATATTAGGTATTTAACTTTAAAGGAAATGACATCTCAGGAAGTAATGATGCTGATATAGTATTCCTTGAGAATTTCCCATCGTCTTATCTGGTATGTCCAATTGTCACATTGGGGTATACAGGGTCTAATTTCAGTATGTAGGCCTTAATGTACAATGAATCTATCCTTAAAAGGCATAGTTCACCCAAAAATGAAAATTCTGTCGTCATTTACTCACCATCGTGTTGTTCCAAACCTATGTGACTTTGTTTTAACTGCCGAACCTAAAAGACGATATTCTGAAAAATTTTGACGATGGGGTGAAATAAAAAATAAAATAAGATACAATAAAATAATTGTATTAAAATAAATAAAATAAAACAAGTCATACTGGTTGGAAAGACATAAGGGTGAGTAAATGATGAATTTTCATATTTGTTGGGATGTGCCACAATGTGCTAGAAGCATTTATCACTGCAAGACACTGCAAGAAGACTTTTTTTTCTTTTCTTTTCTTTTCTTTTTTTAGGAAATGTCTATAAAACTATTTTTAAATGAAACCATATATTTCTAGCTTATGTGCCTTATAGTTCTAGCTGCTATTTCAAAAAAGGCCATAGTAAAGATCAAGAGATGTTTACCACAGTATTTCCTAGGATGTAAATTCCTTTCCCCTGATTGTTAAGGCTAGTCAGTGGAACAGTGTGTTAAAAATGTTTGTTCATTTTCATGTGCTAGTTTCCAAACAGGTGCAGGAGATGACTCAAGAAAATTTAGAACTTTTCTGTTATATAAATAGCATACAATGTGAGTGAGGTACTGTGCAACTTAACCACATGAACAAATGGGGCTTATGTGTCCATTTATGAAAGTATAACTTTACATGCAACCTTTTTCTTGCATTCCCTAATAAACTGCTATTATCAAAGCACACTTCCTACAAGAGAATGTTGTTGTCTCTAATTGAACAAACATGTAATGGTTATGAACTTTTGGTGCAGTACTACTGTATATGTCATTCCATACGCTGGTAAACACAGGATCTGCAGGAGATGGGCTGACTGTGCTCGTCACTGTCATAGAGTTCGGCGTGTTCAGCATTGCATCATGATCACAGTGAGACCGGGCTGCATCAGCAGACTCTGAGACACCCGCTCTCAAGGGAAGTGACTCCTCACTTTCGTCTCTAAACAAGGAAATCTGGAGAGAGACAGGAACCTTCTCTAAACGTGTGCCATGACGCTGATGGTCAGATTTATTAGTCTATCCATCAGGAATGCAGCCTGTGACTCAAGGGTTTGGTTTCATTGTCAGAAGAACCGATTCTAAAGACATGGCATAAATGGCATTCAAATAGGATGCATGCATGGACAGTAATATTCTGGAACATTATTACAATTTAAAATAGCTGTTTTCTATTTTAATATATACATTTTAATTGTAATCTATACCTGTGAAAGCAAAGCTGAATTTTCAACAGCCATAACTCTAGTCTTCAGTGTCACATGATCCTTTTATTATTTACTAATTCACTTTTATTAAATAATTCTAATAAATTGGTTTGGTGTTAAAAAAATTTTTTATTATTATTATTATCAATGATGCTTTTTCAGTATAGAAAGTTCAAACCAAATGCATTTTTAACACTGTATAAGTCTTTACTGTCACTTTTGATTAATTTAATGTGTCCATGCTGAATAAAAGCTTTAATTTAGCTTAAGAAGACATTGAAAAACAGTTTTTATAGTATATAAATATCAATATTTAAAATGACTAATGTTCTAGTTATACAGTATCTCCAACCCTAAAAGCAATCATAGTGAGTTTCTAAAAAGAAAGGTGAACAACCCAATCACCTTGGGGTGTATCATGGTACGTGTCTCCAAGCAAATAAGTGTGAACGAATGTGCTATATACTCTCCCAGGTGTTGAGTTGATGACAACGCTGCACAGGCTCTGTGCCACTGATAGCATAGCGACAGTCTTTCTATCCTTCACTGAACCCGGTGACAGCACGCCAGCGCTACTTTACAGTGCTTTACTTACTTACTGCGTCAAGGTCAGACAAAAAGTTTACACTGCAAAAATATAATCGCCATGAGCGGAGAGATTCCGGCAGGATGTTAGGTACTTTCGCATTAGTTAAGGTGGATGGAGCGAATCTGACAACCAATAAGCGGATGATGCAGAGGCCAACTTTTCACTCAATGTTGCCAGGCAACGCTGCTGAAAACAGGCAACAGGGTTAATTAAGCACAGGGGAAACAGTCTGGCTAATGTTGAGTCTGTCGTCTTTACCAAACTAGTTGTAACATCACAGCTTGCTGTCTGTTTCCAGTCTGGGCACTCCATAAAACTGAAAACCTACTCGAAGCCATCTGTGCCAACACCAGAATTATTGCCAGTTAAATAGCAGGATCTCAAAAAAGACGCGTGCTTCCTAGAGGCACAGGCCACAGTAGTTTTTTGTCAAATGAATCCCAACTTCAAATCAGATGCCAGTTTAACGTTTTAGTGCAAAAGATAGCACACTGAGATTCAATTAAGAGTCAGAAAAGACAAATATGAGATGAAAGTGGTGGTGAAAAAAGGTTCAGGATTTAGAATATGATCAGGAAGCAGCACAGGCCACAGTAGTTTTTTGTCAAATGAACCCCAACTTCAAATCAGATGCCAGTTTAACGTTTTAGTGCAAAAGATAGCACACTGAGATTCAATTACAGTCAGAAAAGACAAATATGAGATGAAAGTGGTGGTGAAAAAAGGTTCAGGATTTAGAATATGATCAGGAAGCATACTGGGAAACTGAGAGGTGGTGTTTGACATGTTCGACTGAACCGTTAACCGTTTCTATCTCTGATGCAGCTTCTGAAGCACATTCAGAAGAACTCTTCCACTACTACTTTTGTGTGGTTTTTGTACTGCTATGCACTCAGTTACAATGGGCTGGATAAGGAACATATAGATGAATGGTCAGTGCAGACAGGAAGTGACATAAGAACGGTTCTAATAGGCTACGTTCACACCGCAGGCAAATGTGGCCCAAATCCGATTTTTGACTCTGATCTCTTTTTCTCATGACAGTGTGAACAGCACAAACCACATGGAATCTGATCTTTTCAATTCCGATTTGTGCCACTTCCATATATGTTACTAAATCCGATACAGGTCAGATGTTTTGCAATGCAAACGCAGTCTGAACAGTCATATCAGAATTGACTTTTACATCACTCTAGATCAGGGGTAGGCAAGTTCGGTCCTAGTGAACCGCAGTCCTGCAGAGTTCAGCTCCAACCCTGAAAACAAAACTCACCTGCCTATAGCCTTAGTAATCCTGAAGACATTGATTAACTTGTTCAGGTGTGTTTGATTAGGGTTGGAGCTGAACTCTGCAGGACTGCGGCTCTCTAGGACCGAACTTGCCTACCCCTGCTCTAGATCAACATTCGTCACGATTCTGTGCTCATGGAAGTCAATTCAAAGATTTTACATACCCAAAGTTATCAAGACAGTTGCGAAAGGTTGTTAGTGAAAGTACAGTAATGTGTCAGAACTCTATATACAAGCAAAACTCACTCATATCATAAAAGTTTCTTTTAAAACTCTGCTCTCTTCTGTCACATCCTTGTCTTTATTTTTCATATTGCCTCATATTGCCTTCATAATTTTACTGGCTTCTGCGTCAGATCACACGATAAATAAACGCATAATCGCTTACTTTATGTCCTCCGTGTTTACTTCTGTATCTGCACAAATGTTGCCAAGCCCACAGATTTCCCACGAAATTGGGCTACATTTTCACTGTTGCTGCGGGTTGTTTTTCATCTATGTTTTGGACTAGTTTTGAGAAGCAATTGGGTGGATTTTGTTGTGAAAACCTAGCAACCCTGTTCGTATTGTTCTTTTGCGCATACGGTTCAGTTCAGAACCATGATCTGTTCACACTGGAAATCATATATTGGCCACATTTACAACAAAAATGTGAACAGATATACAAAGAATCAGATCTGAGCAAAAATCAGAATTGAGCAATATGGCTCGCAGTGTGAATGTAGTCATAGACAGACAAAAAATATTTAGGGTCCTGTACGAAAAAAAAGGGATGACATGCAGTTTTTTTTTAATAAAAATGGGTCACTTTAATACTGCCAACTTACCGCTTTGCCAAACTCCATCTCAGAAAAGAACCTATACCAAGGCTCATTCTCTAAATCTACATCTTCTGGACTTATGTCCTGAGTCTACAGAAATATGGCAACAAAGAAAGGAGGACAAAGAGAGAGAGAGAGAAAGAAAGAAAGAGAGAGAGGCAGATTCAGAATACAAAGACAATGGGACTGAATGATGATGTTACATGAAGTATCTCTTAATGTCATGATCTCAGACAGTAAGAAAGGCTCCAGGCTGAGAGAGTGGAAGAAACATGAATTGGATTTGTTTCCAGCTTGATGACTTATTGCAAGAACATCTGGTTGACCTCAGCAGTCAAAGGAACAGGAAATAGGAAATAAAGATCTCATAAAGGCAAAGTCCTGATGATGGAAAGGGATCCATTAGAGCAAGGGCGAAATCTTTTACACTGTATAACAAGTGAATAAGGAGAATAGACACATATTCATATACTCAAAATGCATAATTTTAGACTTCTACTATGAATATCAATATTTTTTCATTGATGTTTGTAAAAATATTTGCTATACTTAAATATAATGCAATAATAATTGCTTTAGATTTAACATTACACTATCATTCAAAAGTTTGGGGTCAGTAGGTCAGTTTTTTTTATTATTATTCAGCAAATACACATTCATCAATTGATCAAAAGTGACAGTAAAGACATTTATGATGTTACACAAGATTTCCTTTTGAAGGAATAAGGATCATGTGACTCTGAAGACTGAAGTAATGTCATTGCAGGAATAAATTATATCTAAAAATATCTTGAAATTAAAAAAGTTACTTTAAATTATAATAATAGTTAAAATATTTACTGTTTTTACTATATGATCAAATAAATAAGCATAAGAACCTTCTTTCAAAAAATTTTTATCAACCCCAAACTTTTGAATGGTAGTGTACATATCACTTAAAAACAATACAAATATTTCACAACACTGAATATTCACAGTAAAGAAGGATTATTTCTGCAGAGCTAAATCAGATGAATAGACACAGGCAGCACATTATCTTCTGCCCTAGATAGGACCTGACCTAGAGCCATTTTAATTACTTTCCCTAACAATGAGAAAAAAAAACAAAGACCTAATGCAGCTCGCACTTTCTCTGCTTCAGTTGTTTCACTGACGAGAATCCAACATGCTTTGCTTTACTTCTACAATAAACCTATTACAGCGGTATGTCATCAGAAAGACATTATGTAATAGCAGCAGCTCCCAGAACGAGTCACGCTTACAAGATTGAATCATTGAATGTCATAGTAATAAACCTTCCATGAAAAAAACAGACTGCAGACACATACAGTACAAGCCCCTGCAGGAGCCTCTATTCTTAACTGGGACTGGACACTACAGTGTCACTTATTGATGAGCTTTTTATAGCTGAGTAAAGGGTCCTCCTACTTCCTATATTCTAACATTACTGTGTGTACTGTGTGCGCCAACACACAAGATATATATGCTACGTATCACAACATTGAAAAGGGTCGCCAGGACAAATCACCTACCGAGGTCACTTAATAAGACTACCAAGAGTCACACAGCTGTGAGTGTGCTGTCCTTGTAAGTGAAACAGAAAAGCAGAAACCAGCTCTTGCAGCGTCAAACGGCATGCACAGGTCTGCACCACCAACACCAGCAACCAAACATGCATGTATAAAGAAGAGCATCATACCGGTCTCTCCAGCTTCAGCACTGAAGACTTTCCTGGCTCGTACTCAAATATGCTCTTGGGCTCGGCGCGGTACTTCCTGGTGTCTACTTTCTTGTCAGGGGGCTCCCACTCATTCCTGCAGGGATGCATGGGAGGAGAGATGGAGTGATACAGCGAGGGAGGTGGAGAGTCACCATGGCAACCAACAAGGGCAAGTTTGGGCTGCACGTTCCCATACATGCTGCGTATGTATGTTTTAAAATCACAGCATACATCCTTTATGTAAAAGCACTTTAATCATCTAACCAATCTACACCAACATGTGTGCAGCTACACATTTCAGTTTTCTCCAAATTATATTATCATTACAATCATTCAGGTGAAATGTAAATATAAAAAAAAATATCCATAATATAAAAATTATGCTATATTTAACATTATAGTGCACTGCCATTCAAAAGTTTGGGATCAGTAAGATTTTTTTAAAGAAATTAATACTTTATTTTAATCAATTTAATGCATTAAAATCTTTTGTAATATTACCTCTACTGGAATATTACAAAGGATTTATATTTAAAATAAATGCTGTTCTTTCTGACATTCTATTCATCGAAGAATCTTGAAAAAAGTACATATTTTTTGATTTAAGTAAAAATCCTAATTTAAATAATTAACACATTTCAGAATTTCTTTATTTATGCAAATCTTGATGATCCATGTTACCCACAAATAGTGCAGAATCTTACAAATGTTTTATTAATTTAATGTCATTAAATGCTTTTGTTAAAATTTTTTCAAAATGCTAAAACCTTGTTTATACCCAATTTTTATTTTTATTTTTTTGTGTGTGTGTGTGTGTGTGTATTTATATATAAAACCTAAAATAAACTACAAAGATACAAGGTAAAGATACATTATGGTAATGACATTTCTGCTAGTGAACACTGATTACTGAAATAAACGTCTATTATGAATTTTAACAGCAACATTTCCTAAGCCAACACATGCTTGTTAAGGCAGCACAACAAATGCTGAATTACAATGTTTCATATATTGAGGTTTTGTGAAGAAATGTCATCATCTCTATCTTGAGCAACACTAGCATGGTGCAATAATTCACACTCTAATATGAAAGTTTTAAGACATCAGTCAATGAATGTGCTAGAATCTGCTTCATTAATCATAATATTTGTTTCATGTCACGGCTCACCTCTGAGGATTTAGGGAAGATGTGCGTGTTGGCACAGGCAGCTGTCCTCTGGAGCTCCCCATGTCTACAGCACTCTTGGAGCGAGGGACTGCCCGCACTGAAACACAGCCTTCCTTTAAGTAAGAATTCATAGTGTAGTTTATGTTTTCTCTCGAAGGATTAAAACAAAAACACTTACCATCCTCACCACCATATGATGGCCTGTCATCTGAAAGAGTCAGAAAATTCTTATTAGGTACAAATAAAAGTTAATACAGCTGACATATTTTGAGAACTTACAATGTTTTTATTTCACATTTCAAATGTATTTCTAAGGTAGTTTGTAACCTGTTTTCTTATTGTGCTGTACTTAGTGTAGCCTGTGCTCTAAAGCAGCATCTCCAGGGAGGTATTCTAAACATCTAATATATACTCAGTGAAAATGACAGGGATTAGTGTGACATACATAGCAGTCCATTATCAACTAAACAGCAGCTCCAAGACAAGGACACTTTAATTCCTCAGACTGATCCAACCTGTAGATGGCACTATAACCACAGCAGTGTGTTTACGTCATGCTGGAATATTCCATTAGCTGGTTAGTTACAATACAAATAAGACATTTTCACCGCAAACTACTTCAAGGAGGCATTCAAATGATGATTATTTAACAAATACTTGAGACCAGCATTGGAATGGCATTGCTAACTGTGCATTCTAAAGAATCCAATGGATACACAAAGCCCATTCGGTGTGTTGTGACTGCTTTAATAATTCAGCAGAATGGTTCTCTAAAAGCACAGCCACGAAACACATCACAGAGGTATGAAAGCTCTTAAAATGGAGGTAATCAATCTATGAGTTTTAAATACATGGTGATGTGGTTTTCTCGGTGTGTTGAAAATAGCTCTATTACCACAGCTCACCTTGAGTGCTATGATGCCTCTTTAGGACAATCAATTTGTTGACACTGTGTACATATAAATCAGCATCTATTGCACATTGGGATTTGTGAAAGAATGGACATAGGATGGAGCCAACGATGTGGCACATTATACTGAAATATAAGTAGCTTTAGAAATAAATATTTTAATTCAATATAAAAAATACAAATAAATAGTGAAATATGAAATTATTTGAAAAAGAAACGATACTCTGAATATAAAACTAAATGCGCCAGTAGGTGGCGGCAAATCCCTGTCTTAAGTGAGTCATTCAATCATTCATTCAATCGATTCGTTCAAATGGCTGATTCATTCAGAAACGAAGCAAGTGACTGCCTTTATGAATGGTTCACTGAATCATTGATTCACTCGATTCATTTAAAAACGTGGATT